GTGAGTCAAATCGCCCACTACAACCGCGGTTTCAGCAAGCTTCTCAATCGAGCAATGTTCATTTCCCACCATGTGTTGTTCAAACTATTAGCAATTTGCTATAATTGAGCCAAAGCGTCAAGATTGAGGTTGTCAGATTTTTATATCGCAGAGACTGTCATGATAACGTTTAGCGCGCGATGTGAATCACGTAGAGCATTGAGTATTCATGAGCGGGTGGTTTCAATTCACGCATCAAGAATCATTAAATATCTTCGTAAGGAGTTAATTTCGGTAATTTTCGTTGTTCGCATCGTGTTTTACGTAAAATTTTGGTTAAGAAACATGTATCAGAATGCTGAAATTCGTACCTTATCTAGTGGTCCATTGGAATTTTACTTTCATGATACAATTCTTTCGGTCCCCGAGATAATACAACGTTATCATCGCGACCACTCAAGTTAACACAAAAGTATCATAGGATTAGAAATGTAGGAGGCAGTAGAATTCACTATGATCATTACTCAAAATAGCCGCAGGCACGTATTGTATTTTGTTGATGTTGTGCTTTAGAAGTTAAGTTTAGAAAGTAGAGAATAAATACTTAACTTACTCTATTTAACCCTTTGTTGCATATGAGCTAATCGTTGATTATGGTGAGAAAATTTACATTGTAGAGTATTTTATAATAGAGTAAGTTGAAATCGATTTTTGTAGTAATTTTTTAAGTTAGGAGATCAGACTTATAATGCTCCCCAAAAATCATTTGTTGTTTTGATTCAATTTAATACTCCAGCATAGAAATAAAGCTGAAAAACATTTGTTGCTTTCATGCATCGCTATGCAATGAAGGGTTTTAAGGAACTGTATCTCAAGACGATGGCCATTCGATTTTCGCGTAAAGTTGTGAAATCACGGTGAATCTGTAATGCCAAAGCCGTAGTGTACTTTCTAAGGCAGGAAGCTCATAAGGCGCAAATTTCTGTACGCAAGTTTCAGAGACAAGAGTGAATTTTAGACTTTTCTGATAATCTACACGTGAGTTTGAGTTGTAATAAGAAACAACACTTATATAAGTATTTTTCCCGCTTTCAAAAGTTTAGCATTAACCCAATTTCCACTTGGCTGTGGAAAAAATCGACATATTTCACGCGATTTTGCGACATTGGTTTTTTTGTTCCTGAGATCATCGGTTCCTGATCCTTACGCTCCGTAAATTAAGTAAAAGAAAAAAATGCCGGATGCTATGTGGGTTGAATTCCTCGGAGTGGAGGGAGAAATTCTCCTTGTTTTATGCACAAAAGTTATCTTTGGCGGAGGGAAAAAAAGTGTAAACGAAAATAAATCGTGTGCATCAGGTCGTTACACGTGCGACCGCCCGGAGGAAATATATTTTCTTTAATGCGGCATTCATTTCTCAACTTTAGTTTGTGCAAGAGAGGAATTAAAAACTCTAGTATGCCTACTTCGCAGTAATTTGTATCGTGCCCGTCCGTCTGCGAGTGTTATAACATGGAAAATGATTGTAAGTACATTGCTTAATTTGAGATGCGCCATGGTGCGATGCTATTAAGCTATTTCATTTGACCATCCGTTTAGAAACAATTTTTGAAAGCCGAGAATAGATGTGCAAATTCTGTAGAAGAAAAAGACGCCTATTTTGGCTAAGCTGCTGCGTTATTGATAACTAGGGGGTTATGCCCCCTGGTCGCTACGTGGCCCAACCCCCAGAGGGCGCTTCGCGCTCTCTTAGGCCCGCGTCGACAAAAGAACGACCAAAGGAAATGAAGAGATTGTTATACCTGACTCTCATTTGTTCAATATCCCTATAACCGGGAGCGATTTGACCAATAAGAATCGAAAGAAAAAATCTTCATTTATTCAAACTTCACGCCAAGACTAAAACGAAACGGAACAAAACGTGTCGTCGCTTTTTGATGGTCCGTAGAAAAGGAGCATACCTTCAATGCATTTACGCTATCTTTTAATTTTGTGTACTACCCTTTTGTGACCCCTATTTTTTAAATTTTTAAATTCTCACGGAAAAAAAATTGCTGATTCAACAATTCAATTGCTAAAAACAGTGAGTGCAATGTTTCAACGCAGATTTTACAACAAAAAAATGCTACTTTCACTACCCCCGTGGTTAAATTAGTTTACAATGTGGTTAAAGTAGCATTATTAAAAATGCTACTTTAACTATCCCCGTGGTTAAATTAGTTTACAATGTGGTTAAAGTAGCATTTTTTGTTGTAAAATCTGCGTTGAAACATTGCTCTCACTATTTTTAGCAATTGAATTGTTGAATCAGCAATTTTTTTTTTCCGTGCTGTACTACACTATTTTGATCTCTCTTCTAAGATGTTAATGGCTCAAATGTTAAAAGCACCAAATTAACATTTCTACCAACCAACCTACTTAGACCAAGATTCAACATTTCCCGCTTAGCTCAATTTTCCGGTAAATTGGAAATGCCCGTCATTTTCCATTGGCGGGATTTTCAAATTTCTTCAATTTCAAATTCTTCTTCTTCTTCATTCACTAACAAATAGGGCATAGCACTATTTGTTAGGTCGTCCAGTATCAAGAGCAATAAACTATACAAATATTAAAGACAAAAATGAGGTCCCTTAGGTCGTTTAAGAGGAATAATGGTCCTTATCAGCAAATGGTCACATTTTTTGAAATTTCTCAAGACATGCTTTCACCCTCTTCTCATTAAATTGGATGAATAGTATGCTCGATCAATTTTAATGGAAAGCTACTAATTTTTGTATCCAGGAACATTTATTTTAATATAAAGAGGAGTACACGAACGAGATTGTTTTTTAATCCCCGCAGAGACCGCAATCTGAACTCAAAAATAATATTTTGAAAATGTGTGTGTAAAATGTATTCTTCTCAACGAATCGCAGAATTGAGCCTCCCTCTCTTCGCGAGTATTTTCTAAAATATTCGCACTTTGTGGCGCAGATTCGAAATGTTAATGAATCACAAAGTGGAAGCGCTACAGTGGAACTTCAGACGGTTCTAAGAATCCGGTAAAGAGGTAGCGTTATTGCAAGATGGGGGAAAATCTGCGATTTTCGACCAAAAACTGAATCACACTAAAAAGTTCTCCTCGCGGAATCGTTGCAAGCTTGTAAATGTTAACATGAACAAATTGAATGTTCAGAAAAGTAAAAGTGACCCCACAATCTTGCCTTTCGTTTCTTTTAGTGATTTGTTATTATTATTATCAGTATTTAGGAATACATCATATCCTTTTCTCAGCGCAGTTCATCAATACAATCATAAAGTTTAACAGATCATTTAACTCTCGTCAATTACGCATGCATCCTTGAATCCTTTCTGTTTCTGCTTTTGATGAAAAAAAGGAAGAATGACAGACCTATTTCCAAGGCTACTTTAAGAATTACCCTGATGAATATACCTTCCTTCTTCTGTATTTTACAGACCCCATTTTTTTAAAAAAAATTTGAAGCATTTGCATCAAAGTTAGGATTTTTCTTGGTATACTCTGAAGATTGCCTTTCTCTTTTACACAGTTCGCCTGCCCTCTAAAATTTACACTCCTACATTCCTCTCCATTCCTTTTGAGATTTAGCCGACGTAAGGCCTCCAACTGTTTTAATATCTTGCCTTCCAAATCAAAGGCAATAGAATAAAACCCTTCAATATCCTTTCGTCTTTTAAAATATTTTATTTAAAATTGTAAAACACTGTTAACAAAAAAGGTGGCAACGTAAGCGAAAAACTAACCCTGCAATTCATTTAAATTCCCACGGTTACAGCGAATATTTTTTCCCCCTCGTGATGCTTTATTTTAAGTAAACTACTTTCTCAGAAGGAGACGCTCATTTAAAGGACAGCACAAGGTCACCACCATTTAAGTAACATCTTTCTACGTAGAGTCTAGTTTTAAGTCTATCACCAGTTTGACACAACCGGTGACGTTAGATTGCCCTGAAAATTAAAAACTAAACAAGATACAATCGAAAAAGTGATTTTTGCAAAGTGACGCGTGGCTTAAGATTCGATCTTATGGTTGCTGATCGATGATAAAATTGGTAAAAATTTACAGGTACTAAAGTTGAAATATTTCCAATGTACCCCTAAGCAGCTAAAACCTTCAAAACTCTATCGGTCGGATTTTCTCCCACTTTTTATACCGGATCTTTCAAAATCGCATTTTGCCGTAGTCACCAGAAACCTCTTCTCCTCATATTGCTGGTGTGCCATTTATCTTAGCTTCAGTAAATTTCATTGTAACTCTTATACTTCGGAGACATTTGAACTATTATTTATCTGCTCGGTAGTATCTTCCTTGAAGATTTTCAACAGAAAAATTTGGTTTTCTCAATACAAAGATTTGGTCGATGACACAGGGAATGTACCACGGAACAAATGAACCAACAGCCTGTGTTACTTCGCGTCTTTCTTCCTGCATTTTAACATAAAATTTTGGTTACTTTTTCTTACCGCGCGGAAAAAAATTGATTACTGATTTAACATTTAAATCCTTAAAAAATACGTCCAACATGTTCAAATGTACATTTTACAGTCGTGGAAAGCTAATTTAAACACGGGTGCGCACTGGAAAAAAACACATTTGATCTAGAGTCTAGACTCTTGAAAACATTGACAAGAATAAGGACTCTTGATTCCATCAGATTTAAGCTTAAATCAAAAGGAAATCCGCTCAAATTAAGAGGCTTGGTTCTTGATTTAAGTTTAAATCTGATTGAACCAAGAGTATTTTTTCTTGTCGATGTTTTTAAGAGTCTGGACTCTAGATCCAATGTGTTCTTTCTTCCCAGTGTGGTTAAATCGGTGATACAATTTTTATCGTGAAACTTCCATTGGAACATGTCAGACACTTTTTTTAACCACAAAATTGTTAAGTCAGCCATTTCTTTCTTTTTCCTCGTGTGTAAGTGCCTCTTGTATGATTGATGCGGGGTTGGTTTCTAATCTTGTCAAGCGTTCGATCGAAGAAAATATTTGCACTTGTGTTTCAGGTCGGTGGCGAGCCAGCTGATAGCGGGTCAAGCTGTGGTGGCAGAGTGCTACGACAATGTGACGATATACTTCTCGGACATCGTCGGTTTTACCTCGCTCAGCGCCGAGAGCACGCCTTTGCAGGTGGTCGAGTTGCTCAACGATCTCTACACTACTTTCGATTCTATCATCGGAGGCTTCGACGTCTACAAGGTAACATTTTAACTTTCCAAATCCGATTCAGCCGTTTTTACGCAGCAGGAAAAAACTATGACCAAATGGAAAAACCACGCATCTCTGCACTGAAAAAAAAAATATCGGTGTACTTACTGAGAAAAGGGTAAAATTACCAAGAATTCAGGGTTCTATTTGATCCCAGTTTTTTCTTGGTAAAATTACCATTTACCAGAGTATCTCCAAGGAGACCAAAAGAAAAATTTACAACGTCATCGTGAAGAGTATAGTAACTTACGGGAGTGAGGTCTGGCAACTCAAGAAAAGAACTGAAGACATGCTTAGGGCAACCGAGATGGACTTTTGGCGAAGGTCTTCTGGGATATCGAGAAGAGAGCATATCCGCAATGAAAAGGTACGCGAGATAATGGGTGTGGAGAAGGACATCGTGCACGATATCAGGTCCAAGCAGTTGGTCTGGTATGGACATGTGCGAAGGATGGCAGATGATCGGTTGCCCAAGTAGGTCTTCGATTGGGTTCCTCCCGGAAGGCGACGGCGTGGACGTCCTGTGAAAGGTTGGCGACAAGGGGTGGAGGAGGAGATCAGAAGGTGCCAATTGCCTGATGATCTCTGGGAGGATAGGGGGAAATGGCGATTGGGCGTCGCAGAGCGCGAGGCGGCGCTATAAAAGCGACTTTATGTATGTAAATTACCATTTATGGAATTGGTAATTTTACCAAGAAATCTCGGTAAAATTATCGAACTTTCTCGGTAATTTTACTGGACCTTGGTAAAAACGCCAATATTTTATATCGACTGTGGTAGAATTACCGAGATAAAATATGACAAAGTTAGCGGGAATTGATTACCGACAAAAGTAGTGTTCTTACCTGAAAAAAACAGTAAAAATACCGGTTTTTAAGTAAGCTTACCAGTCTGTCTTGGTAAAAATACCATTAATTTGTAAAACAAGTGAGATGGTAAAGGTACCAACGGACCGTGGTAAAAACGCCGAGAATTTTTTTTCAGTGAAATGGGGAAACCACGTATCTCTGTTTGCGACGTTTCTGGCTTCCGGTCACACTTTATTTTATCCTTCAAAACCTAGCCAACGTAATTTCTTGGAAGCCTCTTTGATTTTTCTCCTCCATTAGCGGATGTACCTAAGTTTTTTTTTTTGCGATTCAAAAAAGCACTGGCAACGTTGTAAAACGATAGCATGAATTGCATTCAGCAAAAAGAAATCAGCGCGATTACAGTGTTTTCAAAATCGTGCAACGTCTTCTTTCCTCTTAAAAATACTCAATATATGCACAGTATTAAAAACGCAATGATTTCCCTTTAAAATTAACCATTTTTTTGTGGGAAGCAAAAACTAATGCGATTCTGAGAGACCGTTTAGATAATTGAAATAGTGAGAACGACAACACATCGTCACCTTCCAGGCAAAGTATCACAAGCGCCATGCGACGTTTAAAAATTTCCGCCGCCATTTTATTTTTTTACGGAGAAATTGTTCAACGAAGCTGTCCGAAAATTTCACTGAATTTTCTTTGTGCTGCCGATAAAATTTAGTGAAATTTCCAAACAGATTCAACGAACAATTTCTCAGTAAAGAAATAAAATGGCGGCGGAAATTTTTAAACGTCGCATGGCGCTTGTGATACTTTGCCTGGAAGGTGACGAAATCAACTCGGTAACTCGAAAATGCTCAAAGTCCATTAAAGACAGGCCAATTTACATGAAGGTCATTGAAATTAGCACATCTGTTCCAACTTGGACCCCTTTAAAGTGTCCGAAGTACTTTTTTCGGCAGAAAAAAATATTTTTTCTTAAACTAACTTCTTCACGCACTGTGCAGTTTTGTGTGTGCCTTGATAATTTTCATTTTTCCGATTCGATGTTTTTTCGTTCCCACTGACTCGATAAGGAGGAGCAACGGTTTTACAACACTGTACTAGCGTTGGTTCCTTTTTGCTAAATGCAATCCAAACTGTTTAATTATTTCTAGATAAATTCACAATGTCGCAATGAAACACAGTACTATTTTACTTCATTGGTACAATATTCAACGGTGGAATTAACTTCAAAATTAATCTGGTTAACGCACACACAGTTTTTTAAGCATGTGACAAAAATTAACGGAACATCATTATAACGCCTGGATGCAACTACTCGAACTTCATGGATGTCCGTGTTGCATACGCACGGGATTGAAGGCGTTTTGAATTTCCAGACACTCAGCGCTTCACCTCACCTGTGGCGCGACGCGACGGTGCTGGTGGGACGCTACACTGAGCTCATTTATCTTAAAATTGTATCTTTGAACTTCTTTGAACGGTTCTCTTCGCTATAACAGCAGAAATATTTGTACCATAGCAATATCTCTGTAGTATGAAAGAAGAATTTAACGTGCTCTGTCATTTCGGATCCTCTCAGTGCGGCCCGCGGGTGAAGCGTTGAGTGACTTAAAAGGCAAAACGCCTTCAATTCCGTACGTATGCAACACGGGCATCCACAGAGTTCGAATAGTTGCATGCAGGCGTTATAATGAAATTCGCCTAGTGTTCATCTCATGAACTACCAATTGCGGGCGCTTTGCTTGTTTCTCTTCACTTGGGGTTGTTGCCAGCGTTGTCTACTGCACCGATGAAGTAAAAAATGGCTGATTTTTATCGCGAAATTTTTAGTAAGTTTAGGTTTAGAACATTGTAGACATGACATCGATGCGATTTTTTGTCATGGGAACGGAGTTCCCCATGATATTACAATCGTTCCGTTGCTTTCGCTATGGGATTCCCTATACCTCTGCGACCTTGAGCGTTTCGCCCAGTCTCCGATTTTTGGTTGATTTTCCGATGTATCAAAAACCGTTGTATTTTTTAGCCAATCATGTCTCTACTTCAAGTTGTGTTGATTGCTAAAATTCGCTTTCAGCGAGTTTTTTTCTACCTTGAGATGTCTTGTCTGACTGGTAAATCTGCGCAGAACCACGAAGTTCCGTTTTTAGGCAAATTCTTTTTTTTTTGAGGTTCTGATTGGTTATTTTTCGCCATCAGTTTTCTGTTCGTTGGTGCAAAAGATCGCCTACCTCGGTGTTCTTGAGAAGCCGCCATTATCCCACCTCAAATTTGAAAAATAGAAGTAAAGAAATAATAACCATCGTACAAGGTGGTAAATTGTTCTGGAGGACTCGTTACGGATAAAGAAGTCAAAATCAGAGCTCGATTGATTGATTTAATTCATGGATACGCAAATATTGCCTTAGCTCAACTGCCGCGATCGGAATGCGTGCTGGCATGAACCTCGAGACGCATTAAAACAGTGCGAACCATGGCTCCTACAGCAAAACAGCAATGCGCTTCATATGCAGTCAAGGTCTCTTGTGATAAGTCCCGCCCATTGCCCGAGTCTTTTCTATGCTATTTTTACTCTCGCTCACGTGGAATCCATTATAGCCTAGTTGACTAAACCGCCTCGTATATTTGATTCGGTGCGGGCACCCGGCGATCGGGAGTTCGATACCCGACGATGGGAACTACTTTTTAATGGTTGTATTGAATGTTTTAGACTAATCATCAAAAAATAATTAATACTAGATGATAAATGT